CCCCAAAAAAAAAAAAAAAAAAAATCAGCCGGGCTTGGTGGCTCAGCCTGTAAACCCACGCCTTGGGAGGCTGAGGTGAGTGTATTGCCTGAGCCCGCGGGTTCCAGACCCGCCTGGGCAACTTGGCGAGACCTCATCTCTAAAATAAATCAAAAATGAGCCGGGCGTGGTGGCGCCCGCCTGTAGTTCCGGCTACTTGGAAGGCTGAGGCGGAAGGATCGCCGGAGCCCAGCAGGTCGAGGCTGCGGTGGCCGGGAGCGGCCACTGCACTCCAGTCTGGGTGACAGAGTGACACTCCAACACATACACACAAAAAAATCAACTGGCAGACTTCTACTCGTGCTGTAAGATCAAGCCTATTACATCTCTGAAGACTTTGCTGATATCCTCAAGATGCTATTGACTCCCTTTTCTTGCTATTTACTTTGCCATGGAGATATGAATAGCATTATTGTGCTTATTACGCTCAACAAATATTTATTGGATAGATGACATTAAAATTCACATTTTAAAAAGCCATCATTTTTGAGAGGGGAGAACTAAAATTTTGCCTTCCATGTGACTGTACACTTATAAAAACTAGAATAACACTTGGAACATGAATTCCTCCAACCTAGTATTCTTTTAATAATTCTAGCTGTGGTTTTCAAACCTTTGCAAAGCCACAGAGTATTTTATTCCAATTACTCTTGTATGGAACCCCAGTACATAAAATAGATTAAACTAAAGCTACTGTAGTGGCAGTTGGAAGTTTGAGAGGTTAGGATACGTAGGAGGCCTCAGGAGAACATTTCCTCTCTTCACCTGCTTCAAGTCCTTAAAGTACCTCAGCCTGCTGAGCAGTCTATTTGTTCATAAATTCCTTGAGTATGCAATCTATATGTTATTTTTGTGGCCCCCAGGTCCTAGCACTGTGCAATTTTCCTGGAAGTACATTTAATTGGTTTCAACAAATTGGGCTCAAACATTTCTGTTATTTCACTTTTCCTCCCTGTGGAATTAAATGGGTTATGAATTTTTGTTTCTTAAGAAATAACATTTATTTTTTTCTGATTGTAAAAAAATGAATGCAGATGATAGAAAATGTGGACAAGCATCTTTTTCCTTTCCTTTTCTTTTTTTTTTTTTAAAGTCAGAGTCTCACACTCTTGCCCAGACTGGAGTGCAGTGGCACACTCACAGCCACCGCAGCCTCCACCTGCTAGGCTCAGGTGATCTGCCTCAGCCTTCCAAGTAGCTGGAACCACAGGCGCATGCCACCATACCCAATTTTTTTGATTTATTGTAGAGACAAGGTCTTGCTAAGTTGCTCAGGCTGGTCTTGAACTCGTGGGCTCAGGCACTCCTCTTGCCTCTGCCTCCCCAAGTACTGGGATTACAGGCATGAGCCACCACACCTGGTTTTGGTTCATTTTTATTACCCAATATTCTCTTGTATGTATATACTCATTCACAGATTGATGAACATTTGGATTGTCTCCACTTTTTGCCTATTATAAGTAATCCTGCTATGAACATTTGTGTACAAGTCTGTGGACATATGTTTTCATTTCTCTTAGGTATATACCTAAGAGTGGAATGGAATTGCTGGGTTATGTGGTAGTTTTATGTTTTTTTTTTTTTAACTGTTTTCCAAAGGCTGTACCATTTACATTCTCACCAGGAATGTATGAGGATTTGTTTCTATATATACTTGCCAAACTTATTGTCTGTCATTTTGATTATAGCTATTCTAATAGATATGAAGTAATATCTTATTATGCTTTCAATTTGCATTTCCCAATGCTTAACGATGTTGAACATATGCTTATTAGCCATTCCTATTTTTCTTTGGTAAAGTATCTAATTTAAGCCAGGTGTGGTAGCTCACACCTGTAATTCCAGCACTTTGGAAGGCTGAAGCAGAAGGATCGCTTGAGCCCAGGGGTTCAAGACCAGCTGATGGTATACATAAACACAATTGATTTCTATATCAATATATCCTACAACATTGCTAGACTTAATTTTTTAAAGCCCCCATTTTCTCATGTGTAAAATGAGGTACATACCTAGCAAGGTTTTTGTGTGGAACAATATACATAAAATTTATCAGAAGGCTAAGAAGAAGCTCCCCCCAAAATTCAGTTGTCTAAAATGTGGGATCACATTATTATGAGGAAAGTGAAATGACTGGGATGCACCTGGTGTAGAAGACAGGAGTCAGTTTACCAATAGTCTTGTATCTGTATTTGGTCAAGTTTTGCTGCGTTTTCATTAGTGCAGTGAAAAGATGCTTGTCAGCAGGGCACAGTGGCTCAAAATGAACCAATACATGCTGAACATGGATGAAATTATTTAAATACATACCAGATGAAAAGATTATATATTGTGTGATTCCATTGAAATTTCTGGAAAAAGCAAATCTGTAGAGACAAAATGCAGATTAGTGATTGATGGGGCTGAACCTGGAAGCCAGGATTGATGGCAAATGGGTATGAGACAACTTTATGAATTGATGGAGTTCTAAAACTAGATTGTAGAAATGGTTACATAACTGCACACATTTATTAAAATTCATCAAACTGCACATTTGTAATAGGTAAATTTTGCGATATGCAAATACATTTTGTAACTTCAACAAAATTTTTTATTTTTTATTTTTTGAGTTGGAGTCTCACTCCTTCGTCCAGTCTGGAGTGCAGTGGCCCTCATACTCATGGCCACCCCAGCGTCGACATACTGGGCTCCAGCGATCCTTCTGCCTCAGCCTTCCAAGTAGCTGGAACTACAGACGCATGCTACCATGCCTGGCTATTTTTTATTTTATTGTAGAGACAAGGTCTCGCCAAGTTGCCCGGGCTGGTCTCGAACCCACAAGCTCAGGCAATCTACTTGCCTCCGCCTCCCAAAGTGCTGGGATTACAGACTGAGCCACCAAGCCCAGCCAACAAAATTTTTTAAAAATTAAGTTACCTTGGCTGAGTGTGGTGGTTCAAGCCTGTAATCCCAGCACTCTGGGAGGCCGAGGCGAGAGGATTGCCTAAGCCCAGGGGTTCAAGCCTAGCCTGGGCAACTTGGTGAGACCTTGTCTCAACAGTATATATATTTAAAAAATTAGGCCAGGCTCGGTGACTCAGCATGTAATCCCAGCACTTTGGGAGGCCGAGGCGAGTGGATTGCCTAAGCCTGCGGGTTTGAGATCCACCTGGGTAACTTGGCAAGACCTCATCTCCACAATAAATAAAAAATTAGCTGGGCATGGTAGCACGCACCTATAGTTCCGGCTACTTGGAAGGCTGAGGTGGAAAGATCGCCAGAGTGCAGCAGGTCGAGGCTGTGGTGGCCAGGAGTGTGCCACTGCACTCCAATCTGGGTGACAGAGTGAGACTCCAACTCAAAAAAAAAAAAAAAATTAGCTGGGCGTGGTAGTCTGCACCTGTAGTTCCAGCTACTTGGAAGACTGAGGCAGAAGGATCACCTGTGCCCAGCAGGTCAAGGCTGCAGTGGCTGTGAGCATACCACTGCACTCCAGCCTAGACAACAGAGTGAGACTCAGACTAAAAAAAAAACCAAAAAATAAGTTACCTCCCATTCACCTATCATGTAGCAGAACCAGGATTAGACATAAGTGTGCCTGACATCAAAGCCTGAGCTTTGGGGAACTCCAGATCTGTCATGAAAACTTTAACCATTCCTAACCTGAGTCGTCCTTGAGAATGACTATCTTGGAGGGAATCTGGCATCACACTTGGACTTGATTTAGTTTCTTTGCAGTTATTTCTGTGTTTTCTAAGTTAATGAGCACAAAGGCACTTGGGAATATTTTGGGTAGAGCTTTAATTCACTCCCAAGACATTCACTCATTTTAGAAACTGATAATGAGCCGGGCTCGGTGGCTCAGCCTATAATCCCGCGCCTTGGGCGGCTGAGGTGAG